CATCAAGGGAGCAAGCTAGTGAAACGTTGCACGCGCAAAAGAGAAGGTCTGCACACATCCAAAAACTTATTTTAAATGCAAAATTGATTTTAGTGCGCTCTAAATACTTTTTTCTTTGCGAAACGAACATTTTCTCCACAAAACTCAGATCGCGCGCGTGCAAAATGCACTTTTATGCACTCAAAATATGATCTTTCGTATTTTACTTTCATAGAATTGTGGCAGAGATCTAAACCTATACTAGCCGAGCTAAGGCGGATACATGAGCACTGAGCGCCCGGTGATCGCTTGGAGCTCCAAAATCGGCATAGCAAATTTTCAAATATCTTTATAAATAAACCGCAGATTTGAGTTTTAAACAACTACATTCTCGCCTGAAAAACTTTTAAAACTACATTTCATGACACAATAACAGTAATATTTTGAAAATTACATAGGTTTTGGGCAATGACGTTTCAAAAGTCCACAAGAACGCATATTGAGAAATGGCTATTGTCTGTGTGAAAATATAAAATTATAAAATACAGTGTTATATTTTTTTGTGTTTGCGCACTCTGATGTAAATAAGCCCAACACTCATGGACAGCAGAGCGGAACGAGTGAAGGAGAAGTTTATCCCCTTGTATCACGCAAAAGTGATGATTCTAGTCAACCAATCAATGTTCTGCAGTGAGTTTAGCTCCACGCTTTTGGTACCCTTTGCTGTGCTAGGTACCCCAACGGAAGGGTACCAAAAAAAGTGGTACGGTACGGTTAGCTATTTTGGTACCATTCACAACTTCTGACAATGGAAACTGACATAATTGCATACCGTACTGTACTGTACTGAACCGTACCGCTCAGTGGAAATGAGCTATTAGTTCCTAAAACTATGTGGTGCGAAAGGGGCTATAAGCACGGAATGAGTAACATTATGAGCAATACCTGCGCCAAAATTAAAGCCCTGATGTAACCAGGGGGGTATTCCAGAAAGCAGGTTATGTTGTGACATATCCACCGGGTATGTTTATGGGTAAGTAAGTGGATAAACTCAGCTTTCGGTTCCAAAATCGGAGGTAATTCTCAGGGTATGTAAGTAGCCACAGCAACTGATCCTCTAAACATAACCTGCTCCGGAGTAGGTTATGTTTCAGGGTTAGTTTACTTCACACTATGTAGGGTAGCAGAGTGAATCAGACATTTTAAGATTTGATCAGATTGGTGTTGAACAACCCAAAGAGTCGAATTCCACAGACAGGCCCAAGGCAACAGGATGTTCATAAATCAGATCCTGGCACCACGAGTCTGAAGCAAGCCTAAACAACCAACTCTTTCACAGAACAGCTTGCAACTTTAACACAAAAAAACAACTCAGGAAGGAGATTGTCAATTTTGGGGCAAGTAAGCAAGATTGATGGTCAAAGAGATGCACAGCATGACCATCACATGTAAATCCATGATAGTAATCACGATCACGAGCTCTTTGGATTGACTTCCCCCCACCTAGAGGACAAGAACCACACTGAGATTCCTTAGGAGACCTTTTAACCTGGTCTTCACAGAACATTTCCTTACATCCACAGAATGGCACAGAAACTGCCTTTCCATGTATATATGCACCTAAATGACGCTAAACTGACTTATGAGCAGCTAATCATTTCTATGCATAACTCCATATTATGTATGTAACCCACACATTTGACTATCATGTTCTAATCACTTATTGTGTGTTTTTGTGCTTACAAGTTAATGTTTTAAACTGCCGATCTTGTTACTGTGCTAATAAATAGTGTTTTCACTATACTTTGAATATTAATATCCATTGCAGAGTTGATGCTATACGGCTCGTTCAATGAATCGCTGGCCGACTCAGTGATCAGCCGTAAAACAGTGATTCTGTCCAAATCCCCTATAAAATCATAAATAACTCCCTTTGAGCTAAATTGATCTGTTTCCCTTACAGCTATCAGCATGTGTGATCTTATAATATTATCTATTGATTACAAGAGTTATTAAATATTCTGTATATATATATATATATAGAGAGAGAGAGAGAGAGAGAGTTGTATGATATGCTAATTTTATAAGTAATATATAAGGTAATATATTATTCTAATATGTTATTATATTTATTGTTATATATAATATGTATATATGTATATATTAATTGCAAAACACTATTATAAGGTAATGTTTATTTTATTCTAATATATTTATTATTTTTATTGTCATCTCACACATCGTGGATCTGCATTTTCTATAATGTATTTCTATAATAAAATACATATGTGATATTTCTTATAAGGTATATAATTTCCATCAAACAAACAATATAATTCTTATTATCAGTGATTAAAAGACTAAACGAAAAAAATAAAAATAAAAAAGATTGCACAACCATCACTTAGGTGGCGATATACGGTAAGTACGCAATGTAAATGATCACTGAACATAAGAAGAAAAAAGACGTTCTAACGTGTGCAATTATTTTCAGGGAAACGCATGCTCGGCGAACGTAGTTCCAGAGGTAGGTCTTGACCACATTACATGTCCATATAACTTTGCCAACTGATTTGAGTTATTTCAAAGGTCCTTACAGCCTAAAACAGCAAAATAACCAAAACCCATGCACAACGACACTGGCCAAACAAATAAATACAGTAAACAATAGAATAAAAACGACATATTATTTCCATGTTTTTGCCACAAAATTATGTTTTATTATGTAGGGAAAGCATATAGCCTACTCCTTCTCCCGCTCTCTCTCCCTTACAGACGCTTCGCGATGTGGCCACACCACCACCTCGGGTGTACATTATTTTATAATAATTCAACGGCCCGTCATCAATTATTCCTTACTGCCACACCTGTATATAAGAATATGCATATTTAACTTTCAGATGGGATTCTGCTTTGTCTGTCATTGGTTGCTCAATTATTCAGAAACTAAACTATCAAAACACTTTTTTAAATAGTTGATGTATTGTTTTACATGACACTTTAAATATGTATGTAATTTATAATATTAACTTAATGTTTATCTAAATATGTTACAATTTAAAATTAAATGCACCTTGTTCTTCACATCTGATATGAGATGTAGGGTATATCAGCTGTGTGTGTGATAGCGATGTACGTATATATTCACAAATAAAGCAATGTTGAAGAACATTTATTAACATGATGTGAAGTCCAAAAACAATAATTTTCTGAACATATGGAAAATAATTAATATGTAAAGTCATCCGCTGGATTGAGTCTCAGTGATCTTCAACTCTCCACATGTCTGCTAACTTCTCCACTGAATGAGTGACAGCGTCCAGGTAAGAACACCTGCACAGAAACAGCATTACATGATTTTTGTTTAGGAGCCCAATGAAACAATAATTATCATTATTATATGTTCAGGGAATTAAGAACGTAATTTACATACAAGTGAATTAATCATTTTTTCTCTCTTTTTACATTAAAAAAAGACAAAAATAAAATAAGAGTATTTACATATTCTTTTACTTAAAGGGGTGGTTGATACGTTGAAACGTTAGATAGTGTGTAATGTTGCTGTTTGAGCATAAACAATACCTGCAAAGCTACAAAGCTGAAAGTTGAATGCAAACGGAGACATCGTCTTTTAAAATGCTGGCAGTTTATTGCCTACAAAAACGGCTGGTAGGGACTACAACAAGTTACTTCCCGTGTTTGTGACATCACAAACCCAGATAAACCCCGCCCTCCAATCGGGCTCAAACTGATAAGCGATATTAACGACGCCGTTGTTTACAATGCAACCGGAGCACATGCCGCTGAGGTGAGGGGCGGGATGGTTTGAAGCACACTAGAGGCGGTTTAGCCAATCACAACACACTGGCCTAGCTAACCAATCAGAGCCCATCGCCTATTTCTGAGGGCGGGGCTTCAAAAAAGCAAAATGATCAGCGCGTTTCTAAGAGAAGGGATCGAGTCGTGCGGAATAAAGGTAAATTATGTGAAAAATAATGTGTTTAAAAAAAAAAACGAAGCATTAACACATATTGCACCCCATAAACACAATCAAGCCTAGAAAAAAAACAGTGAACCACCACTTTAAACCACTCTTTCACTTAGTTTCACTCTTTTTACTTTTTTTCACTTGAATATCAATCAGACACACAGCTAACAGAAGTTAAACAGGTTGACGATTAATATTCTCATAAAAATAGAACTAAAATCCTGCAGAAAAGTATTGCAAGTTAATTTAAAGTTAAGTTTGACTCACAAAAACAAACAAACTGCTAATTTCAAATCACGTATAGCATTTTCTACAATAGCCATGTTAAGAAAAAATCTTTAAAGGGGTCATATGATGCGATTTCAAGTTTTCCTTTCTCTTTGGAGTGTTACAAGCTCTTGGTGCATAAAGAAGATCTGTAAAGTTGCAAAGAAAATGGTACCTGCACAGAGAAGCTGATAGACCGAAAACAAGGCTGTAGCCGTTGCTCCACTTGTAGTTGAACCCGTGATCATCGTGGCTGTTGTTGAAGCTGCTGCAGTGGTTCCGCTTGCGGCTGGATTGGCAGGTACTGTAGACGCTGGAGCCGCTGGAGATGACGCTATTGTGGTGGAGGTGCAGTGACATCCATTGATGAGCAGAAGAGCAGTTACAGCAAAGAGACTCAAATGCTTCATCTTCCTTCGGAAAATAAAAGTTTGTTGAACCTCACTGAACAGACAAAGGTTTGATTTGATAGATTATATAATTCTACCGAATCATACTGCAGTGTAGCTGGACTCATATTAATCACACTTGGTAAAGCCATAGCCACCTTATTGTGCAAGTCGGAAGTAGCCTAAGTTATTTTCTCTAAATGTGACTTCCGATTTATTAGCCGATATTCTTAAATAGGCTAGCAAGAACAAAGTGCAGTAAACGGTAAAACTACTTGCACTACAAACCAGAGTGTTTATAATTATGATAACTAATTAATTGTCATGTTTTAAAATGTTAATTACCGTGGTGTTTTTGATGTCTTATTTCTTCTGATTAAACGGTTCTAGAAAATAATGTCAGTGTTAGTCGTCCACAGGGAAACTGCTTCTGGCCCATATTATTTTATTTTACAAGTAGGTTATGAAAGTTGTAAATATAAAGTATTAAAAATATATATTAATCTAGCTAATCAATTAATAATTTATATGAATGTATAACCCGATAAGAGAAAATGATGTAAATGAGTTGCCTGTTTAAACTTTCAGTCAGATTAAACTACTTGTAATATTAGTGAAGATCATGCAGGTTCACATACCCGCTGTCTGTGTGGTTGTCACGTCAGTCGGTCGGTGGGTGAGGTTTATAAGTGTTCGTGTCAGTTCTGTGATCTCTGTGGAAACCTGCTGGGTAATTGTATGTTTCGATGAAGAACGGGATTGTGTTTCAGTGCTTCCACTTATTGTTCTTATGTTAGAGGTGATTCCAGCCCTTTAGCAACAGACAGAGCTGTGTATCAACACTGGCACGCAAGTAACCATGGTCCAGTTTTCTATGTATAGTGAAAATAAAACTATTACAGGAGTGTCTCACAATCTGCCAAGTAACTTTTTTTGTTTTGATCTGACCTAACTACATCTAAAAATAGACTAGGTTTAGAGTGTTAACTAGTGATTACTAGGTTTGTGACAGCTCACACAGAGTAAAATCAGCATTAACATCTAATACTTTTAAAGAGAGAAATGTGGTTAATATGGAACACTTTTGGTATGTTTACACGGGATGTTTTCTTATGGACATTTAATATGAAATTTGATTAAAATCGTGAAAAACAGAGTTGAACGTACACACCTTAAAATTTCAGAAAACTTGAATATAAATTATTGATAATGACTATGCAAATATTTTAATAAACAGTTATACACAACTTTTTATTGCTCTGTGGTCTACAATAAACTTGGTTATATTGCTAGAATGATCACTCTCTTAGATATTAAGCAAATATATTTTTATAAATAAATGTAAATAAAGCAAACAAGTATTTGTTTGAATTACTAATTCAATTAAATTACTAATAACCATAATCACGCATTCATTGTGAAAGATTGAAATGTACTGGAACCCAAAAATATCTTCAGAAATATCAGAGCTTTAAATTTAAAAATGACATATTAAAAAAAAAAGAAAAGAAAAGTTTTTCTTTTTTTACAGTAAAAGTGCAAATATTTCACGCATTTATTCACATTTTAAGAATCCTCAATTAAAAATAAATTATTGATGACCAATCAGTTATGATGACCTATCAATAATGACCAATTAAAAAAGAGACTGTCACAGGGCCACATAAAATGACCAAAAAGTACATATGAAAATAAGACTCAAATAACAGTGTGTCATTTTGATCCCTTTAATTACCTTTTTCCAGTTGTTCATAGTATTACACAGAGAAATTAGCCACACAATTATTTGCAATTTTGATTGCATTCTGTTATTCATAACATTTTATTATTTTTTTGTTAATTACATTATTTCCTTTTTTAGTGCTAAAGCTAAAAAAGTTACACAAGAACTAGCACACTGATGTCTAACCCATGAGGACATTGAGACGTAAATCTACTTCACAGAAAATAAAAGGGTTTCATTGAGGAGAGTTAAAAATACAAAAGGGACACACATTTACATTCACACCGTCCCAACACACGCCACGACGTAATCTATTCCTTTCCCCATTCTTTTTATTTTATTGTGCCATTAATCTCACCTTTATTATGGTTATTTCTCTATGTATTTGGCAAAAATTTCAGATCTATTTCTATTTTTGGTAAAGGCTATTGTGAATCTGGGATGATCTTGCAGTCTTTATGCTGAACGCAGTTATCAAAATTCCATTCAAATTTCCATTAGAAAGAAAGAAGAAGAATACCAGGTTTCCCGCTTGCACAACCCACTAAAACCAACATTCTGTCATGAACAAGAGAAACAGCTCTAAAACGGGATAAAAAATTTAAATGAACACTGAAGGAACTTTCCAATTAACGTTGATTATTCCGATTTATTGTCATGTTCAGGGTTTTGCTGAACGTGATTGTTACAATGCATTAGCAGTTGAGAGGTTTTGGTCTATTGTTGTCATTGGCAAGTGTTAGCAATATCGCACAAACTCAGTGATTTCGGTATTCTTTCGAGCACTCTACAACGAAAATTCTATAGGTTTAAAGTTTAAATATTGCAGCTACGCTAACCTGCTAATCTCAATGGCTTGCCGATTGGAAAAGCTCTTGGAGATAATGGGTAACTAACATGGCTAAACCCTGTTGGCAGTGAAGGGGCTGGTTAATCAGCAAAGTGAATTTGACACAAGCGCTCTGATGCGCCATCATTCTTCTGAACAAATTTGCACGCAATTCCCTTATCGTGCTTTAAGGTTAAAGCACTGCACGCACACTCAGGCATGCCCACACACACTGTTTTTGTCTCTATGGTTCAGCATTAGATCACACCATGGCTTTACTTGAAACCAGTACTAGCGCTCTCAAGTTACCTTAAAATGAGGAACTCCCATTGAAAGACAAACGTCACCGTCACCATGAGGACCCCCTCAACGTTTCCATCCAAACACTTCTAGCAGACTAGCAGGGTTACAACAAAATACCGTGGCCGTACCATGGCACTTTGATGGTATCAGGTGGCAAAACTATTGGCCTTTGTTATCTTTGTTATATACCACAGTAGACTAGCTACTAGTTGGTGATTATAGTCATATCTGCTGTACAATGATATTGTACTCCACTGTACTTTAAAAAATATGTCCACCAATTTAAGGTGGGCTACACATCCAAAAACTCGCAACACACTCTCATAGCAATTCGTAGGCCTAAGCATTTTACGTTTTGGCGAATTGGTGGCTAGTTTGTATGAATTTGTATGCACTGACTGTTAGGTTTAGAGGTGGACTTGTATGATTATTTCTATTCTTTAAATTTTATGTTTATGTACGAATCATATCGTATGAATTCATACGAAATCACCACCTCGGGTGAAAAAGACACACTGCAGTGTATGAATGTAATGAATGCAATATTCATTAATTATTATCCATCCTGCAGGTATTTTATTTCTCAAACTAGTAGTTGAGGTGATTGCTTTAGAACTGGCCTTGTGAATGAGTGTGTTTACTTGTGTGACTTTGCATCAACGCTTAATAATTCCTTAAACGGCGGCCTTTTTTTATTTGGAAAAGCCTCTAAAACACCTGATCATGTAAATGACCAAGACACTCTCATGACAGTTTGTAAGTATTTTACAATTTGGCGAATTTTATAAGTTCTAAAAATCGCACGAATCAAATCGTTCAAATTCGCAAATAGATGGTTTTCTCATGAGACTGGGTTTAAATGCTCATTCACGACATACAAGCCGAACAAATTTGTAGTTTTTCGTTCATAAACCTAAATTCTAAATTTACCATTCATATTTTTTTTCTGCAAGCTGACATTTTTGCGCATTTTTGATTGTGACTGGAAAAAAAGGATGTCAAAATCTCATGTAAACAGACATATTTTCTTGCGTTATCATTGATTTATTGATTTGCAATAAATCCTAGAGATGGGTTTTTACAATGAGCTAATTTTTTATAGTTATCAGCATTTCGTTGTACACGTAAACACACTCAATGTTGGAAGCACTTGTCCGATTCTTTTACTAATTGTGCTCTCTTTCAACTGAGCGTCAACTTGAAATCGACTTTATTTACTTTAAGCTATTCATTTCTTGGATGCACGTTATTAGTCTTCATAATCTTTCATCAAACTCGCTCGACCTCTGAAACAACTTTCCTTTACGGCTGCCGTCATCAATTTCTTTTATTCCCAATCACCATCCTATACACACTTTTAATCGATTCCCCACAGATAAACTGAAACCCCGTCCAACATTTAGGCTTTATCCAGTTTCTATGAAAATACATCCAATTACAGAAAGAGCCTAAAATGTGAACATCAAGTCACATGACTTCAAAACAACGACCCCTGTGTCTTTTTCATTGTTCTCTCGCACACGCTGTCACTGTCATTAAACGAACGTAAAATCCTTAAAAGTAAAAAAAAAAATTGTACATAGACTGACTAGATAAACAAAATTCCGGCATGCATTTCAGAAAAGGCAAAGACCCCAATGGCCCTAACCCCCGAAACCAAACGAATCCAATAAAAATAATACAATTACAGTATTTTTTCTTTCTCGCTTTTTATGTATATAGCTTTTTTGAAGGGCAAATGGAAGACATAAGGTGGCTGTCATCTACAGAGACGAGTACTTCGGCCTAAAACTTTCGCCACCGTCTCCGAAAATACTGTACCCCTCTCACAGCAGCAGGATTGTATAACAGAAGAAAATAATACAAAATACAAAAACGAAAGAAAAAAAGCACACCAAAAAATAATAATCACATAGAAGTTGATAGCCAAACATAATGAGCTTATATACTCTTTTCTCTATTTTTTTGTTTAGAAATTCAACATGTAATTAAGAGAAACATCATTATTCCTTTTTTTTCAATGACGCTCGTCATCATTAATATTAATAATCAGTATTCATATTAGAAGTATTACTATTGGTTAACACTACATTTGGGTCTCACTAAAGGCCCCGCTCATGTCACAGAGTTAAAGGGCTCTATCATCTGCCTGACGGGTCGGTGAAGGGTGAAGGGAGGGAGAGAGTCGTCATCATCCGCCCGTCTTCACGCACGAAACTCACTTTCCCAGAGGACTCCAGCGCTTCATCCGTCCACCTCTCTCCCCCGCTCTGGCGCTCCTCAGCACGACACCTCCATGGTATGGGACGGGCTCGGCGGGAGCTGTCCGCCCTGCGAGCCCTGGGACAGCGTGCGGGATCGGGAGCGCGAGCCCTCCATGGAGTAGGAGGACGAGAGCGAGGTGGTGCGCGAGCGCGAGAGACGCGTCATGCAGGACGATGCCACTGAGAGAGAGCAAACAGAAGAAATCGTCGAAAAACAAGAACAAATAAAATAAAATATAACAAATAAAAAAATAGATAGATAGATAGATAGATAGATAGATCAGTGAAAAAAAAATCAAAAATGTAAGGGGTAAGAATGTAAGAGGAGAATTGTGAAATAAAAAGCATTTATTTAGTTAGTTAGTAACAACATAAAAATATGGTGCTTCTGTCAGCGACTATTTACCAACAAAATGTTACTTGCTCTTGTTAATCTGGTCAAAAATGCACCAACCAGCTAAAACCGAAGGATTAAACGTCTTGTCTACTGATAATGAGAAGCTAAAATATTGCTGTGTATAGGCTAATATTATTATCAACGTTCAAAAGTTTGGGGTCGGTAAGATGGGTTTGAAAAAAGGCTCTCCTGCTCACAAACAAGGCTGTATTTATTTGATCAGAAATACAGTAAAAACAGGAATATTATGAAACATTATTACAATTTATGTTAATTGTTTTCTATGTGAATATATTGTAAAATGTATTGGTAACACTTTAGAATAGGGGTCCAGAATAATGCATTAGTTAAGCATTAATTAATGGTTAACTTGTTCACAATTAAGCATTAGTTGAGCACAAACACACTAGTAATTAATGATTAACTTACATTTAGGGAGCTCAGATTATGCATTAGTTAAGCATAAATAAAGTAGTAGTTAATGATTAACTTGTTCACAATAATGCATTAGATAAGCATGACCACACACTTAATTAATGATTAACTGAACATATAATAAGGGCATATTAGCCATTGTTTACAATTTATTAAACGCGCCACCTATGGTCCGATCTCCATGACACTTTGCAATGCTTGTTCAGAATCATCTGTCGAATGTGCTCACTTAGTTTCATGAAGTTTTGAGTTTTCATTTAGGATTTATAGGCTTTTGGTCATATTTGGCCATGTCCTTTTCTAAATTAACCCATTATAGCTCCCCAAAGGGTAAAATTAAAAAAATTGTTTTTGAAGAAAAAAATAAAAAATGAGCTGCTTATATTTTTGTGGAAACATTTATTTGAAATAGAAATATTTTGTAAAATGTTTTTACTGTTACATTTGTATCCTTACTGAGTAAAAGTACTGATTTCTTTCAAAATGAATCTTATTGGCCCCAAACTTTTAAATCATGATCTAAGTAGTTGATGATTTATATTAAAACCTCAATTTCATACATTTTTGTGATGTTTCTCAATAATAAAATGCTCTCGGGTCACTTACTGTATCCCATGCCTTGAATGAAGTACTTAAACGCTTCTGTCAGTTTGCTGGGCTGGAGAGACACACATTTCATTTACACACTACACAGATTTCATTTGAATAAATTAATTGTATTCATAAACAATGATGTGATGTGACTTACCTGAGTCAGCTGTGGCATCCCGCCGGCATCAGCCATCTGAATAAAAACAACAGAGTTCATATCAAATTGTACTTGCTTTTTGTGAAACAAACTGGTCTTATTTTCTAATAAGATAATAACTTTAAGATTATTAAATTAACAAGTTATTAAGATTTTACCATTTAATGATATGTTATGCTTATTTTTGCTCTTCTTTAATAAAATCTAATAAAAGTACAAAATCAGACATGAAACAGGTGAAGTCCAAACCTTAAGGAATGAGGTCGTAGTTGGGTCTAGTTTGCTGTTGCACTCCACCTAGTGGACATAAACAGACTTGCAGTGAGATGAATCGCGGGTTACTGTGGATAAGTGTTGACGTTTTTAAGACTGACTGATATAAAGACTTACCGCAGCTTCCTCATATGGAGCCTGATCACCAACCACCAACATCACAGGACATCTGAAAAACACAGCCACGTGAGGAGACATCACAAGAGAAACATATATAAGAGAGAATGGCTTTATTTTTCATCATTCTTACTTGAACGTGTTATTCCTCTCAATGTCCAGATCTCTGCGACTGTAAGGGAAAAAGAAAAACATAAAGTTTGATTATCAAGGTGCCCAAATTGCATTTCTTGCATTGTGTTATCTATCATGCATGTTGCATCCCACTTAACTGCATCAAACTGATAATAACCAAGGCTTTACCAAATCCAAATAAAACATTTAAACAGCCAGAAGCATATGGCGATGTATGTATAAAATATTGCTTTATCACTGTTTTCTTTGTGTGCGTGTGTGATTTTACCCTTGGTAGCTCTTCCAGAAGAGTTCGATATTGATGAGGTTTGGCGCTTTAGAGACTCTCTCTCTGTGAGTCTGAATGAGCTCTGTGTTTGCCGACATCTCTTCCTGAAAACAAACAAATACACACACAACAAATCAGTATTTCTCCTTTTACACACAGTCATCTTTATAATGGATGGGAATTATACAAAATTATTACACAGTTCTCTGGAATACTTGATTCTGATTGGTCAGTCGCATCATTCTGTAGTCAAATATTTCTGTATAATGATAGTAAACTGTAGCAATGGACAATTTTCCCACACAGATGTTCTTGTTCTGCTCAAAAAAACTCTTTTTCTTACATACCAATGTAATTTAATGTAAAATCAATATTTCAAGTCAATTATTAAATTTTTGTTAAGGCAAGACACCACAGGTGAATAGGGTAAAACTTTAGATATCACCATACTTCTCCAGTTAAATAATCACAATATATAATGGCAATTGTTTTGTATAACAACATTTCTAGAATGTAATGTTTGAATATGCAAATGAGGTGGTGTCTAATTAAATATGCACTACTTTGCATATATTTCCAGATTATAAATCTGAACATTGGATGAAGTTAGGTTCAAACTTCTTGTTTGATTTTGTTGACATAACAGAGTTAAAGATTTTTACAGAAGGGATTTTGTTTTTTTCTTTGTATCACTATATTAATCAGAAAATAGCGCCAATAGATATATATATATATATATATTTAGGAATACAATGCTATATGTAATCAGGTGAATGATATATGAACAAAGCCCTCTATAAATACCTTCAGAATATAGACAGGAATAAAACTGTAAAATTTGGTGTATCTAAGTGATACTAAAGTGGAGATAGAAACTCATTTTGAGAAAACAGCTTTTAAAGATATGTATTGTAATTGAAGTCCACAGACGCAAACAGATAAAGTGCAATAATAAAATCAGCCGAATGAGATATGTAGAAACCCCTCTATAAAAACCTTCAGAATATAGAAAGGAATAAAACTGCTAAGTTTGGTGTTTGTAGGTACTGCTGAAGTGGAGACAGAAACTAATTTTGAGAAAACAGCCTTTATGTATTGTAATTTAAATAGACAGATGCAAATAGATAAAATGCTATACATAAGCAGGCGAATCATATATGAACAAACCCCTCTATAAAAACCTTCAGAATATAGATAGGAATAAAACTGTAAATTGTGGTGTATGCATGTGTTACCAAAGTGGAGAAAAAACTAATTTTGATAAAAAGAAAAAGGCCTTTAAAGGATTATAACTGAAATCTACAGAAGCAAATAAGATAAGCTTAATAAAATAAATTCTTAAATGTGTATTTATGATTTTTTTTTTCCAACTAGTCTGAAAGACTACATGTTATGGAAATAGCCCAAAATCTAAAATTTGACCATAAGAAAATGAGAAAACAATGTTTTTGGCCTGTAGTGTCTTGCCTTATGCAGCTGTATTATAAGCACGATAATATACAGTCAGCCGTTCATTATCAGAAAAATAATCTACGTAAGGTTGATAAGAAGCCCTCCCATACATATATATCTCTCTAACAAAGACAAACACACACTCAGTCTAATCTAATGTTCTAGAAGCAGAAACACACACCTGACTGAAGAGGTGACTCAGGATTTGGTCTGTGAGGGAAGACGTCAGATTGGAGAGCTGCAGAAGAAACACAAGCTTTTCGAGTCATTTTCGGGAACATACTGACTGTTATTATTAATCAGACAGTGACTTCTTATAGCCTACAGCTGACAGACCTTCTGTGCAGCCCAGTCCATCCAGCCTCGTGAGTTTGTGTCGACATTGATCAGAACGAGCCCTTCCACGGCCTCAGGGTTACTCAACTGTGAGCGAGAGTGAAGAGAGGACGTAAAGCAGAGCTCAGTGAATATAAAGACGCTGTGGCTCAGTTTCATCTACATAGACAGAATCTGAAGGCATCAGAGGCATGTTTCTGTTCAAAACACTGCAAAATGATGCTGCCTTCCTTTTTAGCCAAAAGGCAGAAATACAGGTTTCCTTTGTAAATAAGGCAAAATTAAAATGCATGGTGATAATCTCCATCGAAGATGACTGATGGAGTTTATTTTGAGAGTTTCTCATTTTTACTGTACTGTATATTTAAACAGTTTGCAAAGTTAAATAATATTTAATGCCTTTTTTTTTTTTGGCCGGCAGAGGGAGTAATTCAGTCTCTGTGTGTCTGCTTGTGTTATATATGTTGTATTTAAACATATTGATGCAGCAGGTTTTAAAAAACTACACTTTAATTGTTTTATGGTCAAGAGAAAGAAACTAAACCATGACTAAATTAAAAGACTAAAACCCAAAATATAGAAAGAAAGGGGCCACAACATCGAATAAGGGTCAAACTAAACTCCAAAATATATAAAAGTAGTGAAATTATTTGATGATAAAGCAATAAAAGGGGAAAAAATATAATAAACTAGATGGACAGCAACAAAATAGTTTTCATTTCAGAAGTCTGGGCACCTAAATGAAAACTACTGATAAAAGTGTTTATTTAGAAAAAAGTACTATTCCAACCAATGAAACAATAATAATGCATGTGATGGTCAGATGTGTAACTCACAGTGAACTTGGACAGTATGTAAGCGCCAGCTCCGACTCCAACACCGATAATTGTGCGGAAACTAAACCAGAGGAAAGTAATCAGCACTGAATCATATGAACATAAGATCTATTGTCAAGTATATGTGTAGTTAATTTGTAAAGTATAACTGAAGTGTCACTAATGAAAATTTAAACATGCAATGACTTGTTTAACTCACTTAAAATACTGCAGGACAGCTGGAAGCATATCAGAGATCTGATCCATAGTTGCATACTGGTATCTGTTAGAGAAAATAAGACATTTTAGGACTCTTATCAAGAGACAAAGCAGCCTGTGGACATGTAAAAGAATAAAAATAGTCTCTGAGTCACAATCTGCATCAAACATGAAAGACATAAAACCACTAACACCTTCTGAAGACACTTTGACAGCTGTCAAACGCCATTTAATGCATTTAAATTTTTCACATTTTTTCTAACACCTACACAAAGTCTCAGCAATCACACTCGCACACACACACACACACACACACACACAAACAAATATCCAGCTCAATCGTGCTCATCGTGTTTGCATACGATCACACCGATGGGATTATCATCAGCTGCTCAATTCAAATCTGCGTTCACGCTTTGGCTGGTGCTGAGGCAGAGACGCGCTCACATGTCATTTATTAAAACTTTTCAGTATTTTCAACCATATGTGACCCTGGAGCACAAAACCAGTCTTAAGTCGCTGGGGTATATTTGTAGCAATAGCCAAAAATACATTGTATGGGTCAAAATTATTGATTTTTCATTTATGCCAAAAATAATTAGGATATTAAGTAAAGATCATGTTCCATGAAGATATTTTGTAAATGTCCTACTGTAAATATATCAAAACTTAATTTTTTATTAGTAATATGCATTGCTAAGAACTTCTTCTAAGAATTTGCTTTCATATTCAGCTTTCATATGACATATAAATCTCAATTTCGAAAAATGTACTCTTATGACTGGTTTTGTGGTCCAGGGTCACATATAATGTTTATTTTAAGTTTCTCTCACTGTCGCAAATAATGTGAAAAATGAAATTAAAAGTGTCGATTAGGGTTAGGGTTAGCACATTGAATTTATATCTGCTCATGTTGCATCATATCTTCTTTTTACATGTCTTTGCAGAGTTGCACATTAAACCAATCACAGGCGATTCTGTTGAGCTTATGAATGCAATGTCCAATCAGAAGCGTTCAGATTAGTAATCACTGAAACGCTGTGAAGGTTTGTTCAGTGAAAAGTGAAAAGAATACATGGCACGTACCCGGCAGGATAAATGGCCGCGCCGTCCTCTTGTCCCGGAGCATCCACATGGACCACAGTAAAGTTCTTCACGATCTCCTGCATCTCCTCAAACTTAAACAGGGTGGAGAAGCAGCTCTTACCTGACAGAGACGGACAACCAAAAATCATTTAATTTAATCATTTAATTATTTATTTAAAAAAAAACACACACATTTAATTTAACCCAAGGTTAAGTTTCTTGATTAACAGCACAATGTTGAGGGCTCATGATGACCATAGAAATCAGAACTCCTTTCATTTTTATATAGTTAAGCTGAGATAGGAGAACATATTTTAACATAGAAAAACTACACACACCGTAACACACATCACTGCTTCTTATGGTTACAATCATTCATTCATTCATTTGACTTATAAAGCATATTTGAAACTTCACAGTTGTCACACAACAAATAACACAAACAAAAAGGATAAAACAATAAAAACAATCATTAAAAAGAAAGTTAAACTTCCAAAGAACACCAATATGACTTTAAACAATAACAAGTGTAGATGAAGCCTCACAGCACAATGACTACAGGTTCAGTTCCCTGGAGAACAAAGATTACGGTCACGACTCGCTTCTGATGAACTTGCAATAAAAGAAACTTCTAGCTAATACAACAGAAGATGTCTTATGTGTTTATTTTCATACTCATGCACTTTGTCTCCGTTTGGCTGGCTAAACACACTCATCAAGTGTTAACCACATGGAGTAAGTGTGAAGAGCTCATCTCTTTTAGCATGATGAGCAGAGCTGCCTTTAAACCATCTATATTATTATTAGATGCAGCGACAGTCATACTGAAAGAAACGTTTTAGTGGGGCATTTCCAAGAAACAATGTATATTTTCACACCTGCCTCTTTTCAACCCAATAAATATCAGCCCAGTGAGCGTCTCAGACACTTTCTGATCTTCGAGACTCTTTCATTCACACGAGCTCAAGAACAACACAAAGGTAAATATGCATTCAGTACAAATGACTAAAGTGCTGAAAAAAGGGATATAGGCTATAGTTGTTTTGTTAATGAACTGTAATAAAGTGATGTTCGATGTTCGACCAAATATCGTTCTTTTGAGCCGGTTCTCTGAAGTAACTTGTCGAACTGATTCACAGATCGAACTGAATCAAACTTTAGTTCCGAGTTGATGACGCACAGCTGAAGTAGCACCTCCGACTCAAAAAGAACCGACCAAAAAGGTTCGACCAACTGTCGAAGGATTCTGTTGCTGACATAATGCACATGCGTGCTATCACCGAGGACTTGAACGACCCTGATGTGCAATGCAAGCTGATTATTTTTATTAAATAGGCCTACATTTTTATTATTGTGCATGCAGATTATTGTAAGTTGTTAAGCTAAATCAATGAGTTTACAAAACATGGTTTATTCTTTCTATATACTTTAGACATGCCGAACACACCCGCATTTGTGCATCAATGTCTGTAACACGTGCTGTAAGTGCGAAAGTTTTAGGAAACGTATCCAAGATGTACTATATTGGTCTGTCATATCCGACATGAAGGGTCAGCGAATGAAACTGTGAACATCATGAACGACAATAATCAGCAATATGCATTCACACAAATAATTTTATTTGAATGTTTCATTGATTTAATGACACTGAGTTGTTAGAAAATAAATGCTTATTGATATCATCCCTGACAGCACACATACATCATGGAGACATCTATTTTGACGTCTGCATTACATCTACAAGACATTTTTTAGAGTGTTTGCTCATCTGCAATACGTCTATAGGACGTTTCCTATCAGATGTCAAATAGACGTTTAGAAGATGTCTTTAAGATGTTTATGATTTAGAATGAATGTGAAACTGAGATCTTAGAGACGTCTATCAGATGTTTGTACACAGCAGATGCTTTCCAGATGAAGAGATCTTTAAAAGACATCTTGCAGACGTACGCGTGCTATCTTGCGTGAACCGATGAATCTTTTTTTTTACCGGTTAATTGAATCTGAAAGAACCGGTTTGCCAGACATAGCATCACTACTGTAATGTTGTCCATGTTTTTTTTTGTTTTTTTTAATCATGTCTTTTTCGGTGTAACACATGTAAAGTTGAATACTTATTTCTTTGTTCGTGTAAAAAAATACCTAGTGTTAAAATTAAGACAGTTATGTTGCTAGGTAATGTCATTCTTTACACTTGTGTGAACTTGAGTATGTTACGTTGCGGGGACTGGAGGAAACAAGCAGAGGTGAGGATCTACATGCAGATAGTTTAAATAAGTGACAAAATAAACAAAGAACAAGAAACAATGAGAACAGAAACAAAAGAAGAGCGGGAACCATAATGTTAACAACTCACAAAGCACAAGAGAAACACAAGGGCTATATACGAAGACTTCAGATGCAAAAACCTCTAAGTCCGTCTGAGATTTTTGTTTTACATGAGCATTTTTATCATGCTCCTTTGAAAATAACATTAGCCGACTGGCTGATTAGGCTTTCAGATGCCCTAAATAGTCAATAATTAATAACTGTGACAATGTTGATGACTTGATAGAGTAACTTACCCAACACGTCTCACTTTTGATGTTTGCTCTCTTATTAAATGTCTAACTAAATGTTCTTTCTCTTGTTGTCAGGATGAGATCAGAGGCTATTCTCTCGCTCCTCTTCATTCTGGCTCTGAGTGACGGAGCGGATCGACAGAAAAACGACCGATATGCTGAGTTCAAGAAAAAACACATTCTCCCAACTGATTTCCAAACAGATAATAAAACTGCTTGGGTGGAACACCTAGTGAACAATGATCTCTGTGGAAGAACTCCAGTACAATCCTTTATTAAAGACAGTGAAGAAAATATAAAACTAATCTGCAATGGCTCTGGTACTAAAACAAGAGATAACTATATCAAAAGTACAAATCTCTTCCAAGTGTACAATATTGAAAGTGAAAACAGTACATCACAGATGTTAGAATGGGAGTGTAAAGTTAACTGTGCTACAGCCAAATATCATGTAATTGTTGAATGTCAGAAAAAACTACCTGTGCACTATCATGCACAACACATTGAAAAGAACAAACGTCCATACCCTTGCTATTATATACAGCATGATTTGGTTTTATCACAGTGGGAGTGAATAACTGAATGAGGCTTGAAACGCTGCATTCATTAAAAATGTTGCTATGCCACATGCATGTTTAAATGATATAATTCTAGAAACATCTCAGTTAAAGCTTTCTTTGCAGTGCACAGTTAACTATTATAAAATGAGCTGATCAAATGTATAGCTCGAAAGCAATGTCGCTTTGAATAAAATCTGCCAAATGCATAAATGTATCTGTTCTTTTGTGAAAGCATTCTGATTATCTTTGAGAAACAAGGTATGCTATACAAAGTTACTCTTTTAGATGCTTAATCATAATGTCTGAAAATCATTTCATTACATCAAGTGCCTCAAAAGCTGCAGGATCGTTTCTCTTTTCTTCATCACGTCTGAAGTCTCATTCTGTCAGACCTGCACAACTTCTCACATGTGGCTGTTTATAAAAACACGTCACTTCGATTTACTTAAATGTGAATTTCCTAAGGGCAGAATCTCGAAGAAGCAAAAATGCCAATACATTTTGCATAATGGCAAGAAGCAAAAACAATAAAGGGTGTATTTTCACTCCTGCCTCTTTTCAACCTTATCAAAATCAGTCCAGTGAGCATCTCGGACACTTTCTGATCTTCAGCTCAGACTCATCGAGATTCTTTCATTCACACAAACTCAAGAACAACACAAAGGTAAATCTGCATTCAGTACAAATGTGGTTAAAATGTGAACACTACAGTTTAGATACAATCATAATTGTATTATAGTACCATATAGTACAGTATTTTCCTGAGGATCCTTTGCATCAAGAAGCTTCTTTTAAAAGCTTTAGTTTGAGTTAGATTGTGCAGTAAATGCTGACGTCAAACACAAACGGTTCGCATGGGAAGAAACCTTGTCAAAACAACTTCACACATTTTTGTTCTTTCACAGCACAACATACTGAAGAGGAAAGAGACTCGTCTAAACAATCGGTCTAATGAACAGGTAAACACACACCATTTTGTGACTTAGTTTTATGTTATGTTGTATTAATGCGCTCCGATATACTCAGATATCTGTTTTATGATGTATGCTGTGAATATGTATGGTTATAAGGTTTGTAATTATTGCACAAAATCTGTCAAAAATGTTTAGCAGTGAAACACTGGTGATGTGTAAGCACTAATTAACTATTAAACTAACAACTATTTTAGCTAATAACTTTTGAACCAAATAGACCAGAATCCAAATTCTCTACCACTTTGAATATTTGTTGAAAATGTCTTTTTAAACTCGTCGTACGGCTTTAGTATGATGTGCTACAAATTTGGCTTAGATCATCTAAGTTAGACCGTGCTGGTAAAAATCATCGTGCTAAAGTTAAAAACATGAAATATTTGCTATTTATTATAGTTAGTGTTGCATAAGCTTACAGAAGCAATTTGATGACAGCACCACTTACTGGCAATAATGAATAAATACTGTATACGCCATAATGAACAGAAAAACATTTTATCATTGGAATATATTATATCATATTATATTATTATTTTCTATCATATTATATTATATTGGAAACTGTATTTCTATGAGTATTTAGATTTTTCAAGGTCAATCATAAATAGGGTTGCAAAGGGGTGGAAAATTTCTGGTAAATTTCCGGAAAGTTTCCAAAAATCCCTGGAATATTAAAAAAAAAATCCTGGAATGTTTCCGAAATTTACTGGAAATATTCCACCTTTTTGCCACCCTAATCATAAACCATATTGTTCAATTTTCAGCAAAACAGGGTGAGATTCATTGATTTTCATAAATGTTGTAAAAAGATGCTTGTAAAATATGAACGAATTTGAATCATTTTCATAAAGCCCTGAGAATATAACTTTTACATTTTTTTTTTTTGTAAAAGTGCCACATACTAATGAAAAGTTATAAGCTATACATATTGGTGAATCTCCTCAAAGTCTTTGAAACTAGAATGCAATGAGGAAACAATCTACAGTACGCATGTGAACGATATTGGTGTGTTTGGCCACATAATTGCTGCTTTTTGGCTTTATTATCTAGTTGAAATTGTTCATTAGCTTGTGTTCATTCTATTTGTAACTCTTTTAACTAACTGTGAATCTCTAAATGTCTGTCACTTTCCTGTTTCCAGGATGAGAGCGGCGGTTTTGCTCTTGCTCCTTTACACACTCAGCGATGGACTGAATAATGTCAGTTTCAGCAACGATCAACTGGAGATGTTTTCAGACATTTCTTCTATCTGGGCACATCCCTGCCAGAGATCTCGGAATAACAACGCATACAATCAGTTTAAACGCAGACATTCTCTCGCGTCAGTTCGACACCAGACGGGCAAGCGCTTGGGCAGATTATCTCACGAGAATGAATCTTTGCAACAGAACTACTTTACAATCCTTCCTCCGTGAAAACAACAACGAGAGCATTATAAGAATCTGCAACGGACGAGGCGTCAGAGACACAGAAAACAAGTGCATCAGTAGGAGAAGATTCAAGGTGTACATTGTTGAAAGCTTTTTGAGAAATGGACGCTGTGAAGTCAATAGACTTCATAACGCTGAATATTATGTGGTTGTTGCGTGTGAGGTCATTGAAAACCAATGTTTGCCAGTTCACTATGTGAGACAAAGTAACAGGCGTCCGTCCCGAAGCGGTCGGATCTGCAGACTGTAGGCAGAGTTTCCAAAAGCACTGAGTAGAACTCTTTAATTAAAACGTTGCTATGCCACATGCATGTTTAAACTGGATATAATTCCAGAGGCTTCTCAATAAAAGCTTTCTTTGCAGAGCACAGTTTGGTTTTATGCTCAAATGTGTAGATTGAATGCAGTGTAAGTCGCTTTAAATAAAAGCATCTTTCAAATTCATCAATGTATCTGTTCTTTTGTGAAATCACTTTGATTGTCTTTGATTCGAGACACCCCAGCTGAATATGGTAAAAAAATGAATAAGTATTAGATTGATTACATTAAGAATTGCAAACATTTTCATTATTGCTAATTGTTTTTTAAATGTCTGAAAGTCTAAAATGTTCATTATGTTCTCCTCAAGTTCATTCTGGTGACTGTTTTGTTTCTTTGTTGTTGTTTTTTATTCTGTGAATTTCCCTTGGGCAGAATCTCAAAGAAGCAAAAATCACACTACTTTTTGCTTACTGGCAAGAAACATATTTGCGGTGCATTTTCGCACCTGCCACTTTTCAAGCTAATAACTATCAGTCCAGTGAGCGTCTCAGACACTTTCTGAACTCCAGCTCAGACTCATCGAGACTCTTTCATTCGCACAAACTCAAGAACGGCACAAAGGTAAATCTGCATACAGTAGAAAAGCAGCTTAAATGTAAATCTTACCGTTATGAATAGTACAGTTTGTCTGTTGCATCTGCTTCGTTGAATGATCTCATGTAAATCTAGCACAACTTGTCTTGAGGATTCGTCACAAAGATATTAAGCTTCAGTTGGAGATAGTTTAAGAATAAAATATGTATCTTTTGTTTGACTTAATCAGAACGCAGGCTTGAATCATTAAATGCTACACTATCATTCAAACGTTTGGGGCCAGTAATGGGGCCATATTTTGAAAGAAATTGATACTTTTATTTAGCAAGGATGCATTCAATTGATCAATTGAAGTGACAGTAAAGACATTTATAATGTTGCAAAAGATTTCTATTTAAGAAATTGCTCTTCTTTTGAAATTTCTATTTATCAAATAATACAGCATAATATATATATAATGATTTCAACAAAACATATTCATCAGCACAACTGTTTTCAACATTGATAATAATCAGAAATGTTTCTTGAGCAGCAAATCATCATATTAGAATGATTTCTGAAGATCATGTGACTGAAGACTGTAGCAATGATGCTGAAAATTCAGCTTTGATCACAGAAATAAATTACAGTTTAACAGATATTCACATAGAAAGCAGCTGTTTTAAACTCTAATAATATTTCACAGTTTTTTATCAAATAAATGCATCCTTGGTCAGCAGAAGAGACTTCTTTCAAAAACATTTTTAAAAAAGCGTTTGAACAGTCGTGTTCGTTACACTGCAGCAAATGCTGATGCCAATGCTGTAAAAACAGTTTCACACATTTTTTTCTTTGACAGCACAAAATATCTAAGCATTTCTGAGAGGAAAGATGCACATGCAAGGATTGTAGTGTAATTCTCAAACACTAAACCGGTAAATTAACACTATTTTGTGACTTTGTTGCATATAATGAACTCTGAATTCTGTCAAACTTTGTTGAAAATGTACTTTTTTTTCAAACTCATCAAACTGTTTAATCTGATCGTTTATGAATATGTATCAGATCATCTTTAGGCTTTGCTAGTAAAACTATTTAAAATGTTAAAAACATCAAATTCAATACATAAAAACTTAAAGTTATTAAAGGGATAGTTCACCCAAAAATGAAAATGTGATGTTTATCTGCTTACCCCCAGGGCATCCAAGATGTAGGTGACTTTGTTTCTTCAGTAGAACACAAACAAATATTTTTAACTCAAACCGTTGCAGTCTGTCAGTCCTATAATGCAAGTGGATGGGAATCACGGCTTTGAGAGTCAAAAAATATACACAAACAAAACCAAATTAAACCGCAACCGCAATGTCTGAACTGTCCTGAGCGCCTTCACGTCTGTCTCTCAAATGGACCATTGACACTCCAAATTGAGATTGTAGATAGAGTGTCAATGGTCCATTTGAGAGATAGGTGGCAGTAATGCACTTATAAGTCTGCGATCCGCCGTAAAGCAAGAAGAAGAAGAAGACGCGAAGGCGCTCAGGACAGTTCTGACATTGCGGTGAATCAGAGGTAAAAAACGATATAAATACTGTTCAGTTTCTTGCACAGACCGATCGTTTCGTGTCTTTTCACATCAATGTATCGTCACGAGCCGCAGGGTTTAATTTGGTTTTGTTCGTGTGTTTTTTTGACTCTCAAAGCCATGATTCCCATTCACCTCCATTATAGGACTGACAGACTGCAACTGTTTGAGTTAAAAATCTCTGTTTGTGTTCTACTGAAGAAACAAAGTCACCTACATCTTGGATGCCCTGGAGGTAAGCAGATAAACATCACATTTTAATTTTTGGGTGAACTATCCCTTTAAGTTACAAATTGGAGACAGCGCCACCTACTTGCTATAGTGGATAAATATGCAATCCATAGTGTAAAAATCAATGGACAAAAATCATTAATCATTTTTAAATAAATTGACTTTAAATTCACTGTTCTTCTCATAATTTCTATGAATTTTTTAAGTTCAATCATAAACCTTACTGCTATATTGAACTGATTTACATACTGTTAAAGCCTGTCTAATCTTCAAAAAAACTGGCTTTTTGTCTTTGAAGTAATTTTTCCAAAATAAAAATGCAAAAGATATATATATATAAATATTAATATATATATTAGAAATCGAACAAATTAAGTGAGTTTGTGCTTAATATATATATTAAGCACAAACTCACTTAATTTTGTTCGATTTCTCAGAAAACAAGACTTTGTGTCTTCATTTTGCACTTCAAGCAAATATATGTTGATTTAAAGGTGTTTTGTGCATTTGGAAAAAGAGACAAAAATAGTGAGGAAGTCATTGATTTTATTTTTGCACGACTATGAATTTAAGACCCTTTTGAGACCCGCAGACACCGTGTTTAAGTAGTTCATGAGTTGGTGTTAAAGATTTCTGCTATCTGTGACGCTCTAATCGTCTGTCGCCCTCCTGTTTTCAGGATGAGATCAACGTTTCTCCTCGTGCTTTTCGTCACTCTGGTGTTCAGCGACGGATTGATGGATGCCACCGCCAGCGACGATCAGCCTGAGATGTTTTCTAACTGGCCAGCTCCCTGTCAGAGAACTTCAGATCTAAACGCATTTGCCGTTTTCATAAAGAAATACATTATCCAACCTCATTTCGACATGACACAGCCGCGTGCCTGGGCCAATTATCTAACGAGAGCGCGCCTCTGTGGTGTAAATCCGCACGACTCTTTCCTGCACAAAGATGACATCAATGCCATCTTACAAATCTGCAGAGGAGAAGGCCTCAGAGACGCGCAGAACATGTGCACCAGCAGGAGGAAGTTCAGAGTGTTCGTGGTTCAGAGCGTCTTGCGAAACGGACGCTGTGACGTTCAGCTTGAGATTGAACACGCTCACGTGATCGTGGCTTGTGAGTACATTCATCTAGTCCACTGTGCTCCCGTTCACTTCGCAGGAATAACTTACACTGTGCCATCACCACATGGGCAGCAGTGCAGATAGGCAGCGCTTCCTGAAGAAATGACTACTTCATATCTAGAGGAAGAGCGTCATTATCCCAAACGAATGCAAACTTCTTACTTCACTTCTGCAGCTGCTTTTAGTCTTTTGAGGAAGCTTGCCATTATTTTTAAAAGCAACCCTTGGTTTAAAATGTCCATTGGTGAATCTGTCAGTTCCAAAAGTGAGCAGTCATTCTTTTTTTTTAATCAACTTTCAAGAAGGTTCCCTGAAATCTTTGTTTGCTTGCTTGAAGACATCATTGCTGTTTATTATTCAACTAGGATGTTTTTGCATAGTGTAATTATGAAAACAAAACATTTTTCAAGCTATTTTAAATGCTTTTAAAGCTCTTTTTATATACTTTAAAAAGTGTTGTTGTTGTTGTTTTTTTCTTTGTGCTAATATAAAATAAAATGTCTTGCCGTCTGTCCGTGTGTTTGTGAGTGACTTACTGTCCATTCCCACATCATGGAAGGTCAGTATGGCCGGTCTGCGGACGTTTCCGGCGCCGTGAACCATCACGTGCAGCACGCCGAGAGGCGTCTCAACACGGTGTTCCTACACAAACACACAGCAAGAGGTGAACGTTTAATAAAACCATGCTTATGCATATATAATTAAAGATAATGGAATAGCTGACATGACAAGTGTGACATCCTAAACCAGATCTATACCTGACTTTAACAAAAATCTAGTATTAATGCACTTGCAGCTGCACATCAAAGATAGTAAAACTGGTGAATGATGTTTAAAGAAAAAATGAATGAACCTGTCAACTACATAAAACATGCATATCCATGTGCATCATGGATAACCAGCACATTTTTGACTCACCTTGCCTTGGTCCAGCAGTATTCGGGCCGCGATCTCTACGTCCTGCGTGAAAACAATCACACAATCTCAATATCAGCAGCAAAACTATTATTCAATTCAATTCAAGTTTATTTGTATAGCGCTTTTCACGATACAAATTGTTGCAAAGCAACTTTACAGCAAATTAAGTTTCTACAATATTATCTCCGTTTACTATGCATGTCTACAAAAAAACTCAAGTCCCAGTTGAAAGAAACAGCTTATTGAACCCACAACGATTTGGTTAGTTGCAAACAAAGAAAAAAAGTTGGATAAATTTTGTTATATATATATATATATATATATATATATATACACTGTAAAAAATTACCATGAATTTAACGGTAAAGGACTGTAAAAATGCTACAGTAAAAACCTGTTAAATGGTTAACGGTAAATTCCCCTACTATATACGGTGAAAAACTG